CTCTGTGGCCCAGGTTGCGAAATGTGCTGCTTCGGCCAGGCATGTCGGCCGAGCAACTGGAGGATGATGCACGGGAAAGGCACCCAGCAGTGCACTCGACTGACGGCTCATGAAATATTCGGCGCACGAAGCAGCTCCCTTTCGGTCCTCTTCCAAGCTTAACCACCTCGATGTGGTGGGATGAAGCATTCAACTATAATGCGCAGAGAGAGACTTGGACCGGCTGCGCTCAGCCTGTTCAGGTTTTTCTGTGGGGTGTAAGGAACAATTCGTAAGAGCACTGTCTTTTCGTCTGGAGGATGGCTTGCTGCGTGGTCGCCCCTCGCTCAGAGTCCCTGTTTACCCGGTTCCGGTTTAATTCCGGTAGAGGCGGTTGGGGGCTCGGATGAGGTTATGAGAGGGAAGAGGTGTGAGTAGCCTTCTGGATGCGGAGTTGTTTATTGAGGTTGAGCACACAGTAGGCATTGACGTTAGAAGGCTTCCGCTCGAGGATCAAGCAGGGTTGCATAGTGATTGCAGCTGACGGTTGATTGATGGTTTGTGGATGGGGCACAAGCTGGGCACAAGTATATCGCCATGTGGCTGTGTTCTGAGTTTGGGTGGCCGGGGGCCTCCTTTCAGCGTTGAAACTACCTCCAGATATGAGACATTTGGAATCCAGCTCGCCGTTGGATCTTGAGTGTCTAGCTTGGAGTTCGGAACCGTCATGCGTGGCCCACATCTAGTTAAGTATTGAATATAGTATTCGGAGATATTTGAAGTGAGGTTTCCTGCCCAATTCTTCTTACTACGACTGCATGACACGTTCCCGGTTTGTGAGAGGTCTACATACCAGCTAGTGACAAATAGTGTTCAATAGCGTGCACGATGAAAGATGAGTATAAAGACGTTTCAGGTATGCTGAGGTTTGTTGGGTGTTGTGGCCTTAACAAAGCTTCCCAACATATCGTCTCTCGACACTGTTCTACACCGTGGGCCATTTCTCAAACCTCGCAGGACACTTTTCCTTGCGCCCTCTAGACGAAGTTATTTATGACCGAGGCGTTGCTGCTGATCCCCACCGAGATGGCTCAGCGCGATGCGGAGACTGGGCTGCGCCGGGGGTTGTGCAGCTTGGGCTCTTGGGTTTAGGGTTCAAGGTACGAGTCAGCTGTCCTGGCGTGACGTTGCAAGCCAGTTGCAAAAAGTGTTTAGGGTTTAGCGAACAGGCGCTTGGGCCCATACCCTTCACCCGAATGGAAGGTTACACCGCCGACATCTGGTTCCTAAGCTCACTCTGTCCAAGCGCAAGCATTCCTACAGCACAGGGGATTCTGATTTCCATGTCCCAGCCCAAATCCCCCACCGCAAGGGCTCGTCGTGCCTAGGGTTAAGAACTCGGGGCTAGGATGGGGGATATTGGGGCTCCTGGTTAACGGGTTGAAGAACAACACCAGTTAAAGCACCCGGACGGCCGAACTCATCATTCCTCATGTGCTTGCTGCTTGGTGTCGGCGCATTGCGTAGCTCACACGACCGCCAATCTCTTCAGACCGTCTCTACAAGGCTTGCCTGAATACCTTCGACTGTGAGAGTCGGAGCTTAAGTGCGAGTTGAGCTAAAAAGTTTCCAACGGGCAGGGCATATGGTTCTTCTGGGCGTTGCGTACCGCTTTTGCTAGCAGGCCGGAGGCTGTCGGTTGCGCGGGGTTGTTGCACGCATCTGATGTCTTGCGGTGTTATCGACTAGTGTCGTTGTCTGCTCCTCTGCAAGCAGTTCAATTCTGAATATGATTCTTGGTTGTCATGGGAGGGATCGCCGTCAATGCTTGGATGATCACTCCCCCCGCCAAACTTTAAGTATCAGCGCCCAAGCCTTATAGGGTGTCCAGCAAATGGTTGCGGGCACACTGTCAAGGAGTCCCTGCTGCAGGATTTCAATTCCTTTGACCAGGCGACGGGGCAAGATGTGCTGTGCCAGCGGGGGCTGGATTTGTCTGGCTAGTGTTGAGGCACAGGATCGATGTTGTAGCCCTCCATCCCCGCAGGATTGAACCCCGACAGCAAGCTAAAGACTCAGGAGTTCTGACACCAGCAAGCCTACGTGTCACCCCGACCTTGCAAGTCCTGCAAGAACTAAGGACAAGTCACTGGCCGGTAGGTGTGAGTTAACAAAGCAGATTGACAAAGATAGTTACCATTTGGAGGGTAATGATGGCAATGAAGATCTTGACGATCCTGGCCAAGGCGACAGCCACAAGAACAACCACTGCGACTGTTGCTACCGCCACTGATGCGACTGCTGCTACTGGGGCCACCGCCGCTAGTAGCACACTCCTCCTAATCCTACTCGCTACTCGCTACTCGCTACTGCTACTGCTACTGCTAC